TCTCTTTTATATATTTATTTATATATTTTAAGAGTAGTTTAATGGACATTCAGAAATAAGTTTAATTTTCATGTTTTTTATGTCTGGTCTTGCTCTTTTCAATAGGAACATGTCATAGTTTTATGTAGAAAGTGTAATACAATTTCTGTTTGTTATATTTCTTGCATCATTGTCTTTTCTTTTTCCTAAATGTAATTTGTGAAAGTTCATCTGTTATGTAAGACTTTAAGTCATTGTTTGTTCAGATTTGTAGCCCTCTTAAATTTTTGAATAACTTGAAGCTGAGACTATTGCATAAATAGAATTTTACAGCACTTACAAATTTTATGCTGTTACTAAGCATAAGATTGGTTTTCCTTTATCTCTGGAATAGAAGTTTCACACAAACAATTTAAATATTCACCTAGTGTTTTTTCTTTTTAATTAATTCTGAAATGCATTTTTTGTTTAAATGAAACATTGAAAATCCTGCTTTGATGCATTAATTTCTTCCAGCACACACTTTTGAGCGTCATGTAAAGATGATGATTTATAATGAAGTTCATTTAATGTGATTCATTTCTTAGTAGTCTCAGAGCACTTTATAGTTGGAGAATTATACTTCAAATTAATTTAAAAATTAAACAGTAAAGTAGTGACAATCATCTGCTATTCATCAAGTGCAAAAAGCTCTCATCTAAGAAATCATTTATAACTGTCTGAGAAAGAATCACCAAAACACTTTGTAAATATGTATTACTGTCCTGTCATTGCATAGACTTATATTAACAAGAGTCTTTAGCATTGAAGCTGACACACTTTCCACTGCAACAGATAATGGTGTTGAGGCCAACACCACACTCACAGGGTAATGGGTAATGGGTGATGGAGGCTCATATCCTCTGCTTTATGCATACAGCTTAAATGCAAAAGACCAAAGTGAGTTGCTGTTCCCTGTAGCACAGGAGAAATTAAAGTCACCCCCGTGTCCTCTCTGTGGCAAACAATGGTATTTTGCATACCACTGCTACTTTATGTACAAGGAGATTAAACCAGAAGAACAAAGCATGAGAAGAAGAAATGCAGGAAATTACAGAAAATAAAATGTCTGACAGCAAGTAAGAGGCTAGAAAATAAAAAAAATAAACATTACAGTTACACTGAGAAATATGAATATGAAGGTCTGCCTGTTTGTTTACTGCAATGGCAAAATTAAGTTTGCACAACCTTCCATTCCTGTTAACCTTGCAGAGCCAACACGTCTGAGAGGGTGGTAGCCAGCTTTCCTCCCTTTCTGACCTACCAACAGGATGGTTTGGCAATTTCCAGTTAGGTTTGTATGTGATTTGCCTCTGACGTCATTGCAGTTGTATTACTATTACTAATGACGTAATCAGAATACTGTGGGTCTGTTTAGGTGTTATTAGCCTTCTAATTTGTCTTGCAGAATCATTATTACTGCTGATGATGCACTTCAGTTCCTTGGATATGGATCCATTAACACTGATACCTAATTGTCTTAAGACTGGTGCTCACCTCAGAATTCTTTATTGAGTTGACTTCTCTGTGTCAAGGCTATTTAGATTTAATTTTAATGGATTGCAGAAACTACAGTGTTACTAAATCTCACACCTGATATCTGGAACAGTTCTGAAACCCCACACCTGGAGTGAGGAAACTGTATCAGGACTTTAGCCTGCAAAGAATCTGAAAAACACAATTCAAGTGAACTTTGAAGTCTCAAGAACAAGATAAAGTTCCTTTGATTCAAGTTCATTTACTCAAAACTTGTAATTTTAGGTGGTTAATGTTTTCTGCATGCTTAAGTTTAATAACAAGAAAATCCAGGTGTTCAGTTGTTTTATCCAGGCCCATAGGGGCTAGGGAATGCATCTGGTGCCTGGAAGAGATGCTGAAGCAGAAGAGATGTCATAGGGACCCTAATCATGTACAGATGCTTATAGATGGAGACTGGGTCTGAAGCAAGGTGGGAAAGATACCTGAGGAGATATCAGGGATAAAATTTTGTCAAGAAAGATGGTGCTGGAGTAAACCTTTCCATAGGCTTACATTGTGAAGCACAACCTGTCAACTATGTTCCACACTAAGAAGAATCATAGTATTTGGATCAGAGCAAAACTCGTGGCAGTTCTCACATCAGCATGACATGGACTAGGCCTGTACAGGGAGATCACAGTTTATCACCTTGTTCTTGCAGGGTGTCTAGTGCTGGGGTTGCAAAGCAGCTGGAAACATGTACACGTACTGTTGGTGAGAACAGCCAGCCAGGAGCATCAGTGCATGTACAACCTCCTACTGTACTGCACAGCTGAGAGCAGGGCAGAATGTGCTGGGGCTGCAGCTCTGGTTTCTTGTCAGAGCCCTCTCACAGCAGTGGATTAAGTAATCAAAAGTGGCTAAGAAAAAGGAAAGGCAAGGACTGTGTCACTGACTCAGGGCTCAGAGCTGTAACGAAGACCTGTGTGGAGTTATAGTTTTACCACAAACAATAGGTGCCTCTGTGTTTCTCCCTGTCATGACTGACCCACATGTAATGAGATCTTGGCACAGCCAAAAGAGTAACCTTTCTTCTCCGTAAGCATTTACGTCCCTCTGACAGGTTCAGCAGGCTTGACAGAACAAAGGTGTTGCAGCAATAGCAAAGAAGGAAAGGCATTTAACAGATCAGAGGAATTTAAATAGTACAGTTTGAAAGAGGTCAGCACTGCAATATGTCAGCACAGTAGCTTGACATGTCAAGTGGCTTTTATTTAAGTAATCTCTCAATTTGTTGGTCTTGACCTTGTCCTTGGAGTATTTTTGACCAACTGAAATATGTCATGCAGCAGCATAAGAAAGAAACATCTGCTCTAGAAAGAGGCAGAAATAGGGTAAAAGGGCATGCTACTTCTGAGGTGAAAGGTGAGGAGGAGAGAGCAGGATGGAGCAGTCCCTGAAACATTTGCTGGGTACTGCATCCATGCAACTCTAATTCATTCTGCAATAAGAAAATGGTGCTGAGCTCTGCTACTGTGTTGTTTAGTGGTATTCATACACTGAAGCATTATTGAAGGATAACAGTAAATAAAAAAATAATTAAATACCTCAAACATATTTTCAAAGTGGGAGATGGAGATTAACTTTACTAACTCACGTTAATGATAAAAAGAGATGCATGGCTAAATCCCCAAACATTACTGTTATTCTACCAGGCTTTTCTTTTTTTCTTTTTTTTTTTTTTTTGTTCTTGTTTGTTTGTTTGTTTTGTTTTGTTTTGTTTTTAAGCTTAATATTTATGTTCTGTGAATGAGGTTTATCAAATGTCTATAGAGTAAAGATCTGGGATTTAGGCAAGTGTTCAGGTTTCTTACGGATAGAATATCACACAGCTGAAGGGGAGAAGACAGAAGATTTAACTTGTGTTCAAACTCTGATTGACTGCAAGTGGGCTTTAGAAAGGAAAAATGAACTGAACCACTTGCAAAATAGAACTGTATAATCTTCTGAGTTCTGTATGAGGTAATACAGTCCTATTTAAGTTCCTGTTTTCAGACTTTTTTTGTGGTTGTTCATTTTCCAATTATAGTTAATTGACTTTATATTGGATAATGGAAAAAGTTAAATCTGATCTTTCATCATTTTAGCAATGTGTTCTTTTTTTTTTTTAATTATTGTCATTGGTTTGGGATTTTAATTTGCATTTAAATAAGCTTAATTAAGAAATCAGTGAATATTTATTGTTAGAACAATTAGTTTGTGATTTTCAGAAAAGTGCTGGGGAAAAAAAAAAAAAAAAAAAGATTCCAGTCAGAAGTCCAGGTGAGAATAGGTGAGAATAAATACTTCTGCTGTGTAATGAATTTTAATAGAAGCTTATTATCTTTCTGAATAAATCTGAACATAGAGGAAGACCTAAGAATAGTTGTAACAAGGACAATAAATCAGAACCTTGTCATGAAGGCTGCTTGTGTTCAATTCACAAGGCACACAGAAAGATGAGTCTTCAAATTTAGGACTGATCAAAAATATAGATGTTAACAAAACACATTAATACTTTATAGGCAACAGAATTCTTCAAGTAGGAAGCAAAGCTGTCTTGAGCCACGTAACTGATGTTTCTGCTTGTACAGAACTGTATGAAATAAAGGACTCTTGCAATTAGTAATATTTCCACGAGATGGCACAAGAAATCAATCATTCTCTGCCCATAACAGCGGTGTTATTTTCTGTATTTTGATTCTGACAGACAGGTATGCCCTAATAGCCTACTAAGCAATTACAATATAATGTTCCCAGCTGAGAGTTTGGAATTTGTTATTGTACATTAATGACTGAGAGATAAGCATGTGGCAAGGGGGCCACTTCTTCTTATTTGTTGACTAGGGGACACAGAACAGTATTACTGCCGCTGAATTATTTTTAACTAATATACATAAATATTCATGGAACACACATGAATTAAATTACAAAGGCATCTGTTACACCATGAGGGACTCAGTGCTACAATGGGCACTTAATGCTCAATTGGAAAACAACATCTAAAAAACCCCTCTCAACCCAATCCCTCTTCAAGTGGATAAGATACTAAAATTTATAATAAATCCCTGGTGGAGATCACTGAAATATTAAGCATAATGAGCTTATGAAGAAAAAGTGGATAGGCGGTTATAGCCTGAATTTTTGCAATTTCCTTTACTTTCATAAACTGGATACCAGGTAAAGCAACAGCCTCTTGTCCATTAAGAATTGTTGAAAAAGTAGTAGAGAATATGGTTAGAGGGGTAGGTTGAAGTGAAGCCTGAGGTAATAGTTTGAAACAAATAGACATGTAGGTATGGTCTAAAGGGCACCCATGAGAAGGAACAGTGGGTCTTCATCAAGCTTTCTCTAGACCTTCTGAAGTGAAGTAGCTAGTCTTTGGAGATACATGATCAGTGGGCTATTCACAGTCATCAGTACCCAACAAGTGGCTGTCAACCCTTGCATTTTCCAGGTTTTAAAAGGATCTTATTCTTTTCCAGAAAACAACAAAGCACAAATATTCTTACTGCAGCTGTTCTTCCTATTTGAAATGGCAACACTTGCAATGGAGGAAATTGAACTTCAGCTAGATGGGATTTGGTGAGTTTTTTATTTATTTATTTATTTTTTCAGCAGTCAGCTGAAGTCCTGCTTGTATAGCTGATCTGATTGCAATATCTGAATGGGACACAAGCCTTCAAGATGTTGCTCACTGTTTGTGATTCATAGTTTCTGTGCTTTATTGTGGTCTATTTAGTTCCACACCAGGGCAACTCAACTGTAGCAAGAGTGGGCAATGGCAAGGCAGGTTTTTATCAGCTTGCTTTGCAGGGCAGAGTGTAGTACAAACACATGACTGTAGGTGGGGTGGGAAGGATAAGATTGATTGATTGATTGATTGATTGATTTCCAGAAGCCAGATATTGCAACTTTGCATATGAAGCTAAGAGTCATTCACACCATAGATATTACTAGACCTGATATAGTTTGTAACAGAAGTAAGTCAAGTCATAGCAAAAGTGCTTCTGTATCTAGGAACTAATTTTGTCATGGTTTATACTTGACCACTTTAATGCCAAACTGTGAGGTGGCTGAAAAGGATTCAAAGGTTTTGTTTCCTGAAGTGTTATAATTCATTTGTTGTCCATTTTTAACAGGAGAAGATGAAGGTTACCTACAACTGTTTCAGTGAGACACATCACCACAAGCATTATTAGAAATATGCTTAATTACATTAGTTTTAGGTAAAGATGATCTGTCTAAAGATGATCACTGAGAATGTAAACACAGGAAATGTCTGATCCAAAGCAAATGCAATGAAGTCTTTCAGTTTGTTGAAATGTCTAGATTTTTTTGGATTTCTGAATTACAGTATGTTAATTACAAAGTCGTTATAGAGGTTTTGCTTTATTACAAAATCTGTGATTCTTGAAGTTTTTAAGCATACTCCTTTTGTTATGATAAATACTCAATAAAATTAAGTTCTGCCATAGACAAAAAGCCAGGGCAAGATCTTCTTGCTACAAGAATGTCACTCAGTGCTTAATTCTGATTTAAATCATAGCCAGGTTAAGTTCCATTCTAAATGCAGTGCTATGGTACTGTAGTACTTTGGACTTGCACATCTTACTACTGCCTCCTGGCATCTCAGAGATCTAATCCTTTGAATCGGGAAGTAAAGTGACAGCAATCACAGTAAATGAAGACAGGTTAGTTCATCTTGATACAAATAAAAACAATGCTCTGTGAGCCTTTCCACGATATTTATTATTATCTCCTCTTGTGAAGGTGATAACTTGAAAAACACTTTTTTTTTTTTTCGTCTAAGTAGACATACTCAATAGAATCATAGTTAAAGCATTGTTTCATAAGGTATTATGTCTTGTTCCATATTTCAGTATGAATAAGGCTTCCATTTCGAAGTCCAGTTTATAACCTTGTTAATAAGGATTTTTTAATCTTATTCAATAGATAAAAATTATTACTGGCTATGGCAGCTGCTGCAGTTTTCTCTCTTCAGACTTCTAGATATCCAGAAAATATAGTCTTAGTGAACCACAGTTCTTCTCAGAGTATACCAGGTTTGTTTATAATATGGATTAGGAAGTAAATGGCTGAATACAACTCAGTCCCACCTCATATTTCAGTCTTCCTCCAAATTAGTTTTCATTATATTACCTCAGTTCATTTAGATTTTCCTGCCTTATAGCATCTTCCTTAGGAAGTAAGGTATATTTCTGCCTCTCAGCCTCTCTCCACTGCATGTATTCTACCAAGAGCTTGTGTCCTCCAGCCCCCTGCTGAACTCTACCTATAAATAGTTTACAAGATGGTGTGATTAATGCTAAAATTGTAAGACACTTTAATGGTGAAGATTGGCAAAGGTTTTTGAAAGCATTTTACCACATTCTGTATTTATTTTACCTAAACCTAACCAAATTTTCCCAATCCTTCCCTCCACACAGTTTTTGACTCTTTTGACAAAAATGGAAGTCAAAACATGTTGACTTTTTGTTGATTTTTTTTTTTTTTTTCTTCTCACTGAAGAGAAATAAATGCCAGGGAGGAATGAATTGAGGGGAAATTATGTGAACTGAAAGCAGTACATATTGCATAGTTAGGGTTGGAACTGTGAGTTGCAGGAAAAAATCAAGAAAGGGGAACTCAGAGCAAGAGTAAGCTTGAAGGAGCTGTGAGTTACACTTTCTGAGAATAACAATATCCTTAAATATGCTAGTTAAATGTGTGTGTGTGCTTGTATGCATGTGTGTGTATAAGCCCACACCCATTTCTTCTCCTCTGTATTTGGAATGTATAACTGGAATATACTTTCTCAGTGCATTCCGAGGATAAAAAGGTATTCTGGGAGCTACTATCAGGGGTACAATAAAGTGTGAGGGCACTTCAGAAGTCTCCAAACATTTTAAGACTTTAACTGACTGTAATATGTTAATCACCAGTTAAAACTGTAGTGAAAGATTTTAAAATATGTCTGCTTTCTGTGTGTTTTCAAATGAAAATACTCCTTGTCTTTCCTTTGTGCAGAAGTGTTTGGCCAGAATTCTTAGGGGAAAACTGAGAAGCCAAACCACATGCTAGTTTACTGTTACTACTAGGTGAATGAATAAATAATGGATAGATAAATAATTAAGTCTCAGACTTTTTTTTTGATGTTGTAAACAAAGATTGAAAGTAGTCATTGGGGAAATCTTATTCGTCTTATCTAGTACTCAGGATTCATTCCATTAGAAGTGTTTTGTTCTGAAGTGACTGTATGAATAAGCACATGTTAGCTGTATTAATTCCATCTGTATTTCACAGCTGTAGATCATGCAAGCTGGGTGTTGTTTTGGCTGAGTACAGTATATCCTGGGCTCAAGGCAGTTCTGAACATTAACCTGTCATCCAGTCTTTCTATCTGTCCTTATTAAGGGTTTATAAAAAGTAAATAAGAACATAACATTCTGCTTTGTTCCAATATGGATTAATATAAAATCAGATACGTGTATTATATTGCAAGGTCTGAGAACCATGCTGGCAGATAGGAAGGAAACACCGGGTTGCAGGACTTGCTTTGATGAGCATTTCCTCAGCAGGAAAGGGGAAGCAGGTTTTTTGCATTCCACAGGCTTTCCCCCTCTGCACTGGGACAAAACTAGATTCCTTTAAGCTCTTTCACTTTCTGCTGTAAAGGACAGCATGCTGAGACCTGTTCTACTGGGAATCAAGTTCACCTGCATGTTGAGACCCAGAGCCTGACCTCCATCTCCCCTAGCTCTAACCTCAAGTCTATTCTGAACTAATTTTTTCTTCATCTTCTTTAGGAAATGTACCAGCCAGTTGGTAAATGTTGTTGGGCTCTTTGTGTCAAAGCATAAGTAAGATCAGTTAGACAGGTCACGTAACACTTCTCTTTTAGTTTTATCAGCTGGTTAAATAAAGATTAGATCTTTGGGAACCACTCTAGTTTGAGTGTTGGCCCATGCTGTAAGAGGATTCTTAATTGTGGTGGTAGCAGGTTGTAGGCTGACCTGATTTCTGCCTAGATGACTCTCTAACACCCTCTGTATTTAATCTCCCTGTCACTTCACAAGACAGAGGTAAACTCATAGCCCGAGGCATTGTGTGGGAAGAAGTTTTACAGGCACATTAGCCCATAATCTCTGGCACCCATGCCATGGCCTTGGCACCATGAGCCCTACCTGTGTTGTGCCACTCCCTGAGTCCTCTGGAGTCAGTGTCACGGTGCAGTAATGCTATTTCAGGGGAGCAGGGGACAAAACGTAATGCATCTCTCTCCTATGCCCTCCCATGGTCCTCCCTTGATGTGACAGTGCACACTTCCGTTTCCAGCTTGCAGTTCCCCTTTATGGGAAAAGGTCTGAGCTAAGAGCCTTTGAAGGTGGGAGTGGACTCATGCCCAGGACTTGTGGAGCCACTAGATATCATCATAACTCCTTAGCTATCCAGTTAAAAACAGGTCTTTTAATGATGGCAAGAAGCAATCTCTTGAGGTTTTGAGTCTGCCATAGACTCTGTATTGCAAAGACTGAGACTTCTGTTTTCTGTTTGTTTGTTTTTTTTTTTTTTAATGATAATGTGGAATTAAGAGTGAAAATAGTATTTTTTTCAAAGCAGTAAACCATAAACTACACCCAGTGGGAAATGGATATGTATACTCTTATGCAGTACCTATATATGTGTGTGTGTGTGTGTCTGTGTGTATCTTTTTATGTATATGTACTTCTACAGCATGTGTGTGTGTTTCAGGCAGAAAATCACACACCTAGAAATACTGGCTCCTCTTTAGGCAAAGCATGTTGAAGCAGGATATTTTGTTCTGTAGCTAGAAACAAAACAAAACAAAAAATACTTTGGAACAGATTGGACTTCTTTTCTCTGTTCCTAGACATTGTTGTCTCTTCTCTGTTGTATTTGCTATTACTATTTCCATCAAATATTCCTCATCTTCAGAGGACAATTTGGAAAAGCTTGGATGAAAGCCACTAAATAAAAATACACTTTTAAGGAAAAAGAACATTCAAAGCACTGTAGACATTTTCATCCTCTTAGAACAACATGCTTATAACAATGTGTTTGGAAAACCTATTGGGCTTATGACACTTACTTTCAGGAAAGAAAGACAATGTCTTTTGTGTTACTCACATTTATCTGCCAAGACTCTTTTATGAGAGATCACAGGAGACCTTTCTTTCAAGGCTGTAGATTATACAAACAGACTATTTTGTATAATCTTAAGAGGTGAATTAAATGGAAGCAAAAATTGCTGTGAGTCTCTGAAAATCAGGCCAAATTTGCTTGGGTCTTAGTGCTTCACTTGTGCTTTCTCACACAATTGAAAATTTGGCTTGAATCTTTTAAATATCTTGTGAAAACTGCAACAAATCTGAATCTGTCTGAAAACATTTTTTCTGGATTTTTTTCAGCTGGAAATCTCAGGGTATTTAGTCACTATTTTAGCATTCCATGGGAACTCAAGCAGTAACAGCTAGTAGCCTGTGAATTGTAGGACACTGCTGGTTTTACATCTGTCTTCTAAGCGAGTCAGACTGTGCACACAATGGATATAATGAGACGAGGTGAGTTTCAGCCACTACGAAAAGCATTCCTTCCTACTTGTACTCTTCTCCCTTAGTATGCAGGTCATGTACAATGCATGGTGCAGAGTCATTGATGTAATTGCCAAGTTTCCAGCATCATGTTATGATTCATCTATAAAGAGTCAGTTATCAGAAAACCTGGCAAATAACAACCCTCTTTTTAGATCTGTCTAAGACACAGCAGATACAACATCATTTTGTTGCGTCTACAGGGCAACAAATCTGCATGGTCCTGGATTCTCTGATAATTAGTGTCTTCCTTTGCAGAAAGAAAAGAATAATCTCACAAGATTTTTTTAAGGTAGTCCAAGGAATTTTTTTTTCCAGGTAGATTGATTTACACTGACATGCAAGTGAATTTATATATATATATATATATATATATGTGATTTTGGAAAGATTAATTTTAGTTAACTGAAGAAAATTAGATTGTCTTTGTTGAAATTTGTATTGAAATTTTTATATAAGGCTAACAGAAAGCCTATAATATACCTGTGGATGTTTATTCAAGTGAGTTTGTATCTTATTAGGTCAAAAATTTTCATTGGCACAATTCTGATTTACATGGTGGTTATATTCTTTTCTTTATGGTTCATGTAAAAATTGCTTTTGAGTAGAGCTGGAATTCAACTAAAATGAACAGCAATGGCATTTAAAAAGTTTCTATTGAGAAGAAATACTACCATCCATTTCAAAGTTAACATATGTTTTAGACACTAAACTGATGTATCTAGTTAAGGAAGAAAGTGTTCCCTACAGAAATGGAAATGAAAGAACTGTTTCTGGTCAGCAACTTTTTCTAGAGTGGATAGATCTCAGGCGATTAAGTTTGGTTGCATTGGAACACCCACACCCACACTCACACACACACAAAAAAAAAAACAAAATCAAAAACAAAAACAAAACAGTTTCAGTTAGTAGCAATTTAAAGGGCTTAAAGGTTTTGAGCTTTAATTTGCAGTTCCCTGTGTGGTCTCTTCACAATTCTAATACTCTCTTGATATTGTTTAGATTTCACAATGTATAAAAACTGCCTTTCAGAATGTAGAGATGCAAGAAATTAATCTTTTTGGGTCTGGTGCAGAAATGAGATTAATTTGTACTACATAAAGTTGGAAATGGTTTTGTATGCTCTGCATCTAACATGATAAAACACTGAAATATTATATTTACTTTGAAATTTTCAAAATCCATTGTATTTGGTACCTCTTATGCCTGAGATCATCATCAATCTGAAAAACACTATTCAGTGCAGCCATCTGAAAAAAAAAGTTTCCCAGTTCTTGCTGTGAAGTGTATTGTATTATGCTACCTCGATTTGTCTGAACATAACTTCCTTCATGAAAGCAAACTATATGTATAGAATATTCTTCATATTTATAAATGTACCCTTAATTAAAATACTTCCATACAAGGACCACATAAATGTATGTAGTTTGGAAAAGTGTATCATACTACATACATGGAAAAAAACACACAGGAACTTTCCTGAAAATATTAATTAAACTTTTTCTACTACATAGGTAATAAGAAAGAAACAGGCAGGAAGTCTCTGTTTTAGAGCAAATATTGCATTTCCCCTTCACCAAGAAAACTTATACCCTACTTGGCATCGTTCCCTAATGATCATTTATAAAATGTTATAGGGCTGCGTGAAGCCATATTTAAGGAATGAAAAATAATATATGCATTTGATGCCTTCTGACCATTGTGCTTTTGTCAATTATAGAAGTGCTAATTTTTAAACGGAAATATACATAACAGCTTATGAGGCAAGACTGATGAATAACAAATATTATGCAGAAACAATTGTTATGAAAATAAATGACAAGATAAAAGGTTCATTTCTTATAAAGTGTCTAATTAAAATTAACATTTAAACATACCGCAGTTTGTTCTCAGCATTTTATATACCAGTTCCCAGCATAGCAGGAAGACTGTGGTTCTTTTAAATAGTGAGAGAACTCAACTTTAAAGAACAGAAGAATTGCTTTGTACCTAGAAGTCTCTTTCCTTCCAACTCTACTTCTTTGCTAAAATAGGACATTTTGGACAACACTGACAGGCTGAATGTTTTCAGTGTTGTGATGAAGCCTAACTAATATCTTCTATATTTGTACCCTTGGAGCAAGAGGGCACAGAAGGGTCTTTTGCTGCTGTGTGAAGGAGTTTAGGTTGCTTGATACATACATGAGACAGTACAGATATCTGCCTGAAAAAAATACCGTCTCTTTTGTAAAGAGGCAAAAGAAATGGTGGCCTACAGCAGATGCCTAAGATGTAAAGAGATACTTTTCCGGAATAGTCCATTGGCTTCTAGTGATTTGTGGTTTGCAGATCACTGATGTTTATTTGTCCCGTTGTCAGTTTGGCTGATAGCTCTTAATCCATAAAAATGTTAGCATCCTCAACTTCTGGCCAGAAATTAAATTGCTGAACTCTTATTTTTTTCTTTGAAAT